CTAAGTTTCCATCTGCATCCAATAAAGGATGAAGATTTTCTCTAATTCTCCTTATGTTGTTGATGAATTTATAGAAACATTTTTTATTTTCCTTAACAAGCATAGCAAGGTTGACCTCTAGCTGCGCTTTGGCCCTCCTAATCTTCTCCCTGCGTTGCATTTGGCGATTTTCAAAATCTGACTGGATAATGTCTTGAGTAACTTGCTCTAACTGAGCCTGCTTTGAGCGGGTGGTTGGACTATATGGTTCAGAGATCCTTTCCACCACCAGCTATTCTGGGAATACCCTGGAATGGTGTATGGGTTCCTTTAGCTTCTCTCTGAGGTCCATGTGAATTGGAAAAAGCAACTGGTGAATCACGTTCCCATAGTTTGTACATCTCCTGTTGGCTTCTGAAGGATTCTTGGTGGAGATCGAGGTACTTCACTTCTCAAGTACAAGATTAGTAGAGGTAGGAGGGCAGATGGGTTTTAGCACTATGTAGTTTCATGAGTTCATAAACGTGTGGGTGGTGTGAGACTTCAGCATACATCTCCCATGATGCTGGGATGTGCACTACAGGAGTATTATTTGGTGCAGGTTTCCTAAGGATGCTTCTGGAAGGCTGTCTGTAAAAACTGAAGTAGATTTTGACTAAGCACAGAAAGACCAAGGTGAAATTCTTTCCCAGTTATCTTGCGGTTTGTTACCTTTTCTGAAGAATCAGATAAGACATACTTCAGTATCGGAGCACGGACTCTAAGGTGTCAAAAGGAGCAGACATTTGCATGTTCTGTTTGTAACCAGGGGATGCGCAGAGCACAATTTCCCCGTAATCTGGCTTCTGGAGTTGTTTAAACAATTCCAAGTATTGAAGGGAAAGCTGCCAAGGTCAGAGTACTTGTAGAAATAGTCATCTGTTGGAGGTATGTGCTGTCTTTAAGTCTGAGTCAGAGGGAAATCTCAATGCTGCGGTTGAAATAAAAATTTGTTACAGTTAAGAATTGGGCGATGTTTTTATTTTATAGAATAAACAGGTAGTAACTCAAAAGTATAAATCCTGATTGTCAGCATGAAATTTGAGCAAGAATGGAGCAGTTGATGGTCTTGTGGCAGTCAAGTTTGATGTCACAGGTATATCTGACAGGTTGTGTCTCCCAGGGAATATAGACGGTAATACCTAATTGTAGAACATTATTAGGAAAGTGTAGAAGTGGGCAAGCAGAGAAGCTTTTGCAGTAAAATAAATGACATGTAAATAAATATAGTGGTGGAATAATGCTGCCCATACTTTCCTCAGGAAAATAAAAGGAGGAGACCACAGGCTTCAGCAGGTAACATCTGGGATTTGGATTTGTGTTTTCAGATTGGCATGGACCAGAGAAATGTTGGAAGGGGGAGATTTTAGAGAAATCATGTTGTGATGCTTTAAGCAGTGGATCAGGTGTATGGAAGAGGCTAATCTTGGGACTGATCGGTACATGGGGATTTGAAAGGACCCTTACTAATAAGCTCATCCTGCTGTGAACTTACCATTCTGTCGAAGGGCTAAGCAAACTTCGATATGCCAACACTGAAATTCAGAAAGGGAATTCATGTCGCCCTTGATGTTAGAGCAACGCCTACCAAAGACATTGCCCCTGAATTTTATAGAGCTTTTGTTGATCAGGTTACCACCCTCCGTGACTGGCTTTAGCACACGGCTGCTTAGGCAGTATCGTTGACTGTAGTTCCCATCTGAGTGTGGACATTGGATTGTTCTTACTTCAGACTTAACGTATTATGCGTGTTGTTTCTATGCATTGCTTAGCACGCTGCAGTCCTGACCTTTGAAGATGACGTCTAAATGCTATTCTTATAGAATCCTTCCCCAAAGTAACAAAAAGAGGGAGGAATATAGAATAAAAAGTGTGTAATCCAAAACTGAAGTGCAAAGTCTTTGAATAGAGCCTCCTGAAAGAAACAACCGTTAAGACAATAGGTGTACTCCCAAACAAAAAAATAGAATAAATAAATAAAAAATCTGATGAGAACATGAATAGGAAATATGAACAGAGTAGGAAAAACCTCTGAGTGACTCTTCAGTAGACTTCATAGCATAACCAAAGGGTTATAAACAATGAGAATACCTCTACATCTTAACCAGACCCATGAGCAGTGCTTAGGCTGATCAGACTTTAAGGGAGTAGTTGAGACAGCTAAAGGTATTGAATTGTATTGTAATGTTATATGGTAATGGCTGGGACCTGAGCAAGAACAGTGCTCCACAGCACAAGTAATGTCACGTGGTCACTTAAAGTGGATTAATTATTGATGGGTAGTCAATGTCAATCTTTTCAAAAAAGAAAATTAGGTTTATTTAAACAGTAAGAACAACTTGCAGCATAAGGTAATAGTCAAAAAGAACATCTAACCAAAGTGCCCTTGCAGAAGTCTTTAAGAAGGCATACTGTTAGGCACATTTGAAGTACACTCATTAAATGTCAGCTGGTTAAGGAAGGGAACGTAAAGCGCTGATAAATTGATCTCATAAATTGCTACAGTATGGAAATTCCTGAAATGCGCTGAATGTTCTTTGAAAGCATAAGTGATCAATCTGGAGATCAAAGTGGAACAAGAAGTCCTGTTGACAGTGGTGGTTCAGATAACGAGTGAATTTCCTAGAACTGGTTCTGTCCTTTGCTTTAGGTGAAGGCAGCTCTGTGGGCCCTCCAAGGAGGCACCTCTGTAGTGATTGCAAACGGAACCCACCCAAAGATCTCAGGTCACGTCATCACAGATATTGTGGAAGGGAAAAAAGTCGGAACTTTTTTTTCAGAGGTAAAGCCTGCAGGTGAGTACAGAATTAATGTGTACTTTGGGAGTTGTACAGATTTCATGAAAGGTTAAAATATGACTAGACCTGTACAATAACTGGGAAACCACACTCTGCTTGAAAAATAGATTTTGAAAGGTATTAAAATAGAAATAGAAACTGTTGAACCCTGTGCTCTGGTTCCCTTCAGCTGATAAACTGCTGCATCAGACTTGCGCTGGAAGAGTGCAATGAGCAGAATTTTTACCATTTTTAGTCTTGGGAGGGTTATCATCTCCTGTTGAAAATTTCAGTGTGAAAATGTGAACCTAGAATGTGCTGCTGAACTAAGTGTATAGTTTTATTTTTTCTCATAAATTCCCTTTATGACTCAGTGTTCCAGTATGGTAGGTGGGAATGTTTTCCTGCTGCTGCGTTGCTGGGATGGTGGAACAATTGCTGGGGAAAGTCAGACCTTGGCAGAACAGGACAAGTACAGAGTGACTTGTGCTTTAAGCCAGGCACACTTCTTTGTGTACTGTATTCCTCAATGGATTTCTTGTACCAATTTGTCGAATCGTACGTTGAAGCCATGTAAAGACTTAGCGTTCACAGGGCTCTATGTCATGATCAAGAACCTTAACTAGATACTGTGTGTGAACTCTGGAGCTAGAACTATGTGAAGAACTGCTTGCTTTAATTTGTTGTTGGGGGGATGGGGAAGGTATTGAATTTTATTCTCAGGAGCTTGACGTGATGCCCCTACTGCCCCTATTCAGCTTTGAAGATGAGACACATCCTCTCTTTCCCCTCATCATCTCTTCCATGTGAGAGGTTTGGTCTTAGACATTTTGTACTAAAGCTGTTCCAAAAACTTGGTCATCCCGGTTTCTCTTACTCAAAACTCTTTGCCTTCTATTATGACGTTTTTGAAATGGGCACAGATCAAAATTTTGCGTAGCATTAAAGATGCAGATAAAGCTTTAATTTATGAGATGATAGGGGTCTGATTTTCCTTTTCCCCTCTTATTGCTTCATGTTTGTCTGGTTTGCATTGCACATGCTCTTTTGTTGCCTAGTGACTTGGCCACAGAGGAAATCACAGAATTGCTGAGTGGCTGAGGTTGGAAGGGACGATGTGACAGATGACAGGGCCTTCTTGTCCTATTCCCTGCTCAAGCAGACCGCCCAGGCCTGTGTCCAGACAACTTCTTCATACCTCCTAGAACTGAGACTCTGCAGCCTCACTGGACAACCTGTGCCAGTGCTGGGTCATCCTCACAGTGCAGAAGTGCTTCTGCCTAGCAGGCAGCTCCTGTGTTTGTCCATGGCCTCTTGTCCTGTCAGTGGGTGCCTCTGAGAAGAGCCTGTCTCCAGCTTCTTTACACCCTCCCTCCAGGTATTTGTACAGACTGACAAGATCCCTCTAAGATGCCTTCTCCAGACTAAACAGTCCCAACTCTCTCAGCCTTTCCTCCCAGGAGAGATGCTCCAGTCCCTTCGTGGCCTTTGTGTCCCACTGTCGAACTCTGTCCGTGCTGTCCAAGTCTCTCTTGTGGTGGGGAGCCCAGAACTGGGTGCGGCCTCACCTGGCTGAGCAGAGGGGAAGGATCCCCTCCCTCCACCTGCCGCCAGCGCTCCGGCCAAGGCAGCCCAGGACTCTGTCGGCCGCCTTTGCGGGAGGGGCACGCTGCTGGTTTGGTGCCCACCAGCACCCTTGGGTCCTCCTCTGGAAAGCTGCTTTCTAGGAAAAAGTGCCATAGTGACGCCTTTCAGTAAGTCTCACTGTAATAAATTTGTATCAACAGTAAGACTTTTCATCTCGTGATCTCATTCTGATGCACATATATGGAAAACAGCAAAAATCCCTGTAGAATTTTCCTGGTGCTCTTCTGCTATGGTTGGCAGGTGTTTGCTTCAGTCCACTATTAGTCTTCTATCTTCCAACGAGCACACTTTGGAAATCCAAGTAACTTTTTAAAATCAGCTATATCTGCTTACATACACATCACTTTTCTCAAAGGACACCAAACCGTAATGTACTTTGTCAAGTATGACTTCACGTTAAAAAGCCGGTTTAACACTTATTTAAGAATTCTAATCATGTGCCCACAAGTTATTTTCTTACTGTTTCCACTATACCTCTTGATATTTTCCATAACATTGGAATTGCTGCTCTGGGAATTTCCATGGGACCCTTCTTGAGTAGAAGTTGGGTTCTGTTTATCGCCTTCAGGTCACATCTGCTTTACAGGCAATTACAGGGGAATTAAAAATCACAACTTAGCTTATCCATAAGCACTTGCAGATTCTTTGGGGAAATGGTAACTGAACCTAGTGACTCGTTTTGAAGTAGAAAGAGAAGTAACCTGATTCATATCATTTAGCTTTGAGACAGGTTTGGTTTTTTTTGTGGTCAGAAAAACAAACAAACCACAAACCACCTTTCTTGTAAAATGCATGCAGGGAGAGACAGAGGGGTTGCCATCTGAGCTGATACTCAGATTGTGTTTTGGCTTCCATTATTTTTTGTACATTTCCAGGCTATTTTGTAATCCTTTCTGTTTTGCTCAATTGGGTACTTCTCAAAGTTTACATCCTTTCTTTCACTAGTGTACCATGCCCTGAGACTTAGCTATACTTAGCTATCCTAGTGTTCTTTTGTCCTTTGTCAACTCTTTTTGATACATGGTGCACACTTGGCTCTGACATGGTGACCTCACAGGATCTCTGGTGCCTCTCTGCGTTTGGGGATCCCAGCAGTACTTTTGTGTTGGGTACAGATTTTCCTGTTTCGGCACATTTCTTGTGTATGTCTGTTTAAGAGTCTGTGTTTATTTTCCTGCTCTGAGCAGAGAATTGGAAGATGGAAGGGTACTGTTCCCTCCCACATGTGCTGTTACTTTCTCTGCATAGCTTTTTGGGGTTTTGTTTTTGCAGGTCCTACAGTAGAGCAGCAGGGTGAAATGGCTCGAGCTGGTGGCAGGACCTTGGCGGCTCTACAGCCTGAGCAGGTGACAGAACAGTGTGGCCTCACTTGTTAAGCTTGGCAATGCGTGGCAAATTTCACAACACGGATTTATAACACAAATGGGCCCCTTGGGACAAGAATGTATTCTTTGTATGCCACATCCATTATTTGGATTATAGCACGCTTAAAGAGATGAGAAAAGGAGAAAGATAATGTACCTTGGGGCTATGAAGTAAGATATGCTTTCATGTGGAGTTTATAAAAAATTTAATAGTGTCACGTATCACACAGAAATGAGTCGTGATCAGAGCTGCTGAAGAGTTGACTGGAATAACTTGCTCTCTTCGTTGGTGTGTGTAGCGTATGCAAAAGAGGAGCTCTAGACAATCGGTTACTGCTCTGCAGTTGGGTGGGTAAAATGTGGCATCTGCTGTGAAGAAAGCGAGGTGATCTTAACGGAAGAACATTGTGGGTTTGGTTAAGAAGACTGGGCAGAGAAAGCAAGATAGTAAAAAGCGAAGTGAAGGTTGAAGCAGTGTTTAGTCTCATTTTTCCAGTATGATGCAGGCTGGAAAAATCAGCTGGCCCAAAGTATTCAGGGAGTCAAGACAGTAGGAGGATGTGGTCAACATAAATGGCCTGAAGGGAATCAGATGTCAAATAGCATGGACTTGGTCTGAGAAGTGAATTCAGAAACTGTTTCCTCTTTCAGAGAGCTGAGATTATTTATCACCTTGCTGACTTACTAACTGACCAGAGAGAAGAAATTCTCTTGGCAAACAAAAAGGACTTAGAAGAGGCTGAAAATAAAGGTAATATATTTGAGTCCTTCCATGGCAATTGTATTGTCTTGAACCTCTTTGGGCCTTGAGAGAAGTGAGCAGAACTACTGGGTAGTATGACTGTCACAAATTAACGAACCCAGGACCTTGAGAGCTTGCCAGTGTAAATAGCTGCAGCTTCCTTAATTACATAAAACATGACTTCATCAGAGAAGATGCTGAGCCCTTGCAGAACACCAAGCAGTGTTTTAAAAAGAAAAAAAAAAAAGGTAAAAAAAAAGTAGTGCTCCATTTTGCTTTAGAAATGGAACATATCAAACATAATTTCTGTTATTGTCATGCATAAAGTGAATATTTTGTGGGCTGGTTAAGATAATGTTTGGCTCCCAAGGGGAAGGCTGTCCTGTCTATATTTCCTCTTCTGACTGAGGAAGGTTCTCTTTAGATGGCTCAGATTAAACCCATTCTTCCCTATTAGATTGATGCATTCCTTGAGAAGTTGGGATTGGGATTTGTACATACAGGAATAGCAAATGCACAAAAATGGCACATTATGAATTGTAATACTTTGCGGAAGATGCCAGGGAACTGTTTTTTTACTGACTGGAGTACCTGGAGGAACATTGCTGGGCTAATTTACCATCTGAGCATGTTCAGACTAGAAAATTCAGACAATTCTCACCCAGTCTGAAGGGAAGTTATATGCCTGCATTTCTATCTGTAAACCAGGAGGATGAAATTCCTTCCTGAACCTTCCAGAAGTACTGCAAAGTGTAGACATTTGTCAGAAATTCAGACATATAGCACTACTCAGAATAGGACAAACCTTATCTTTATGGATGTTACTGTTGCTTCATGTACAAATCACTTAAACTGCATTAAGTGAAAATGTGGTCGTGTGTGTAATCATTGTCATGTTTGAGTTGTTTTATTGTGGCTACTGGACTTAGAGACGTGTGTTTTTAATCTCCAGTAGGTTTCTTACTAAGATGGGGGAAGTACCTGGAGCTTCCTTAAGGCTCACCACTTGTTAAAGTTGCTTTTGCCTGAGCCTAGGCAGACCAATCTGTCTCCAGCGCAACTTTTTCTTTCTTTTAGGGAGATTGGCCCTTCCTTTGTTGAAGCGTCTAAGTCTGTCTACATCAAAGCTGAACAGCTTGGCTATTGGTCTGCGTCAGATTGCAGCATCCTCGCAGGACAGCGTCGGCCGCGTAATTCGGCGAACGCGAATAGCAAAAGACCTGGATTTGGAGCAGGTGACGGTGCCTATTGGTGTCCTCCTCGTGATCTTCGAGTCCCGTCCGGACTGTCTGCCACAAGTAAGTAAGGGGGGCAGATTACACTGGTGGGAGTTTTTGATGACAAAAGAAAGGATATTTCTGTTGGTGAGCAATTGATAGACTGTAACAACGTCTTGTCTGAAAGGACTCTTGCTTGGATTCTTCTAAAATTAACATTATTGGCATTTCTGTTTTTCCTGGGGAGATATTCTCTCTTCTGCAGCATTCCGTTGTTCACAACTATGTGGGGGTTATTTTGTGGTTTTTTATTTGTTGGTTTGGTGGTGGAATTTTTTGTGGGTTGGGGTTTTTTTGTTTTTTTTTTGTTGTTGTGCTTTGTTTTGTGGGTTGGGTTGTTTGTTTTTTTTTAACCTGACATAGAAGGGGTTATTTTGCATTCAAATGGTGCAGTTCCTGCATGTGACTTACAAACCCATGTTCAGTGCCTAATTGACGGCTTGGGAGGCTCCTACCAAAAAGCACTTGTTTTATCTGTCCGTGCTGCGTACAGCTGAACTGCACGCTGGGATTGAAACAGGAACTGCTTAGTACATGTGCTAGTAATTAACTGAAACTGTTAGCAGTGCATGATTTAGAAAAAAATAAAGAAAGGCTGACTACAGAAAGCACAGAAATTCCAAGCTTTGGGTGGTTTGTCTTATACTGATACTGCTTGTTGCAGGGAGGTGGAATGACAGCAATGAGTAAATGCTGTTAAAATGCATGAAAATGAGGGCTGAACAACTGTTAAAGAGGCAACCTTGATCTTACTTTGTAACCCACAACTACTTTGCTGGGTAACTGTAGTAGATTTTAAAAAGAAAACAGAAAAGCTTCATTATCAGCACCGTTTCCCACAATTGACACTTCCAGTCTAGAAGAGTTCTCTAACACAGGAGCAGGTGCTTGAGGAGAAAGTGATGGGTGCAGGTGCTTTGAAGGGAAATGAGACTCAGGCTGTGGACAGTGTAGTACTTCATGCCTGAGTTTTGTGAGTGGTCTCCATTTCTTATTGAAAGGGGAGTGTGCTCTAGGCAAAGTTCCTATGAAATGAAAAGGCACTGGTCTCCCTTGTCTACCAGTATTAGCCTCTTGTCGCTAGCTCTGTTCTTCACAGAAAATCAGTATGCTTCCTTGTTGAATTCTGATCTGTTCTTCTGGACTTCAACCCTGGTCTCTTGCTTTGTGTAGCCAATGTCTCCCTCTTTTCTCCTGTATTTTATCTTAAAACTTACATGAGACTGACTCTTTTCCCCCACGTAGCTTGGAATAGCTTGTCTTAGTTGTTGCTTTTCCTTCTGTCAGCATCCTGTCCTCATGCTTGCAGCAGGTTCTCTGATGAACTTCAGAGGATCGTCTTTTGACGCCTCTGCATTTTAATTGTATGATTTCTCTCCTGTGGAGAAGCACGCACGAACTCCGAGATGGTGGAAAATGGAATTCGCTTTATTGCAGGCAGACACATATTTATACTTCTTAGCAAGAAGCTCTATTTGTGGATTACAAACAAGAGATCAGACTATGCAGCCAGGGTCGTTAGCAGCTCATGTACTCCTCCAGTCACACTCTTATCACACAGGGAAAACAGACTTTCCCAGGTCTGTTTTGATCACACTCTCCCATTCACCCCCAGGCACATCTTTTGTACCAGAAGCCTCTTATCTTTTCGTTCTCACGGACAAACCCCCAACACGAGCTATATGCAGCTGGTCAGGGTCTCTTTTCATAATTAGCAAGCAAGAGTTCTGTACTTGTTTAGAAAAGAGCTCAAGGACGAAAGTCTTAATTCTGCAACGCAGTGCTGCCGGCACAGCTCACTGTAAAATGTGTCCACGGTCTCCCATGCTGTAGCTTAGAGTTGGATGGTTTCTAAGTGTAGAGAAGCGCTTCCTCCCTCTTAGTTTACTACTGCATCTTATGCTTGTTTAGGTAAGCAATTACAGGAGAAGTTTGACTTTGCTGTGAGAGGGAGCATGCTTGGTTTGCTCCCTGGAGACAGCTTGTGCGGAGTTAGGTCAGTACTCGGAGTTCGGTCTTGAGCTGCAGTAAAGGTGAAACAACTGAAGATTACTGGTTAAGGTTTAATAAGCTTCTAAGGAGCATATACGTGTCTCTAATACTTACAAGGCCAAACTGTAAGCATCTTTCACAGATGGCTTCCTATAGATTCCACTGAATTCAGTTCTTGCTCTGAAGTATAGCCATGCTCTACTACTCTTCGAAGAGATTGAACTGTCACAAAACCCCTTATCTTCTGTTCTGCTTTTAATTATAAGGGATTTTTTGTGTGTCTTAATTATTGATTATTTTTTCTTTTTTTTTTCCAATCAGTTCATAACCTTTCTTTTAATCTTATGCCTGCAGAGCAAAATTCTTTAAAAAAGCTTGTTTGTTTAGCATCTCTTGTGACACTGACCTTTGAAGAGGCAGATACAAGATACTTTCAAAAAACTGCTTTTTAGTGTCAAGTGTTATAAGTTAGAAAGACACATGAT